CCGCATCACAATCCTGCCGGAAGAAGAGAAGTTGCGACGGGTCTTAGTGACGGCCTTAGCTTCCAACACCAACTTTCGCTCCGCAACCCGGGAGATGCTCATAGAAATGCCAAGCAAATGGCGGGGCTTAAAGAGCACAAAGCTTCCAACCTGCAAGGCTGTTAGATGCCCTCAGTTGAGGGCCCCAAATGCCTGCAAATCGAGGCGATGCACCACTCCAAGCAGTTGCTGCCGATTTGTTTATTTGACCTCAAGTTGCCTAACTTTGCTACGGTCCCAGGTGAATGCAAAGCCAAGATGCTGGCGACAAACCATGCATGTACCTATTATTGAGCATGGATTGTCTCTACAGAAGGAATGTTTGTTGTTTCTTGAATGCATCGTACGAGTTGGTGCTCTATTTTATCGCGAGCCATTCTGCTCAAATAGTCATTGTACCAAAAGGTCCCCAGTTGTTGAGCGGCATCCCCGCCTTTTGTTTGGCAACTTCCTGAGCCAAAATAGTGACTTCCCTTTTGGGTAAGTGAGCTTCATGCCCTGTGAGGACCGCATGAAGAAGTTCCACATGGACTTCTTGGACAAGTGCCCGGCCCTGCTTTTGTAGAGAAGTTCATCCGAAGGAAACCGTGCAAGTCATAGCTAAGGGAGCCCGCTTTGGGGCGCAAGGGAAGGAAGCCAACATGAAACACGCAGGCAAACTTCATATGCGAACCGCGTCTCCCGTCTCCCCCTACCCGTGACTCGCTCGCTCGTTTTGTTGGTGCAACCTTTGCAATTGTTCTGCAATCCCATGGGACAGTCGAAGGACCAGGCGGTTGCTTGCACGAGGTATTTGAGTCCCGGGGAGCGGGCCATTGAAGATGTCACTCCCACGCCGTGCCTCTTGGAGTGCGAAATCAGTTCCATGGTCAAGGACCGGTTCCTCTTCATGGGGCTGGTATATAGGGATAGTCATCAGCCACCAAGTTTTGGTTGCAGATAGTCCTCTCAAGGAAATTAAGACTATGAGCCACACAAGGAGAGTTGACCATGGACGTGGCTTTCTTTCCAGGACGGTGGATTTGTTTTAGCTGGCAGCCTCCCGTTCATGACCCAGGCTGCTTGTGCTGAAGGGAGCTGGAAAAACCAAATGTCTGGTGTTTTCGAAATCTGCCCACAGGGCCCCTAGATTTGACCAATCCCCTTTACCGAATGCTCGGCATCCGAGGTTTGCCGCAGTACCCGGAGTCTTTGCACAAAGATGTGATTCAGGCTGGAGACAAGCCGGACTTGCAGGGTGCCAGTCTTTTTGCTCGTTGGGAGAAACGTCAACGGCTGTATTTGTTGCCAAGGGTAAAAGCTGGGTGTTGGCTGGCGATCCAGGCACCAACTTGTTACCCTGAAAGGGTATTGGAGCGCTGTTGAGCGAAGCTGAACCGAGGCCGGCTCATGAGGTGTACTGGTCTCATGACAGAGAAGTCGCAAGCACGCGGATGCTTGCCAACATGGCTGCCTTCGAAGATGAATATGTTTTCCTTTGTTGGTTTTGTCTTCCTTTTGCATTCCACTTCAAAACCGCCCCAAACAGTCTCCAAAAGGTTTGACACCTACCAATTTGCTTTTATCAGGCCCACCTCAAGGGCAAGCTCCAGCAGGACGCCTACGGGCAAATGATTGGGTGGGTTCCCCAGACCTCCAGTGGTGCTCTTTTCTTAAAGTGGGGGGTCCCTTTCACGTACACCCAAAAAGGGCGCCGGTTTTTCCCATGGCCGCCGCGTTGGGGTTCGGTTTCCTTTCAACCCGAAAAAGGAACCCTCAGAATCAAGTTGGACGAACATGGGCTTCGGCCCTTTGACAACCTGATCTTTTTCTGAAGTTCGCTTTGAAGTAAACTTTGAAGGGTCCATGATTTTGACCTTGGGACCGCGCTTTTGTTGGACCGAGGTTCACAAACAGGGTCGGTTCAAAGCTTGGGGGGTGGACAAATCCTTGTTTGTTTGAACCCCGTTGTGCTTTATGGGCCATACCAAGTTTTGACCTGTCCTTTCGAGCCCCATCTTGTTTTACGGGCCCACAGACGCCCCATAAACAAGATGGGGGTGTCTTTTTTGAGGGTACCCTTTGTGGGGTGATTTTTAGGGAAACCACAGGAAAAGGCCGGGGTGCCGATTCCTTTTTTGCGACACACCCAAATGTTGGCAGTCCACCGCGAGGAGAAGCCAGTGATGCTGCTGATGCTCGGGGGCTCCGGAGCCGGCAAGGGCACCTTCCTCAAGGCCCGATGCGCGAGCCGTTTTCGACCGCACGGCGAGCATATAAAGACCAAATGCGGTGAGGCATTCTTTGGGTCGCTTTGGTCGAAAAGGCGTCAAACCCACGTCCTTATGGGTCAGTGAGTCCTGCAAACCGGGCGACTGGGAGCACCTTGTGACGAAACTGGGCGCCCGCCCGAGCTTTTGATTGCGACCTCGCCCGAAAATGCGCACTGCAAAAACCCAGGACGACGGCTCCGTTGTTTGGG